ATACTACCAAAAACTCAAAAATTGTTAATCATCGAATAGCAAACGTTGCTATCCGTTAATAATTCGACAAATACGGAATTGACGCCATTTTTTTTTTTTTTTTTTTTTTTTTTGCTTAACGGTTTTTCTTAATGGATTTTCTAAATGATTTTTTAATTGCAATAATTTTTACAATTTACATTTAAATTATTTTTTTTACAAGTTTAATTTATCTGGTATAATGAAAAAAAAAATTTATGGATTGATGAAGAAATAGAGAGAAAATGGAAAACAATTTTCAATAAATGGTTTTTGTGAAACTGATTTGAACATGAAAAATTTTAGAAATCGGTTCATTTTAAACATGTCTTCTCTTTGTAAAAAGTTGTAATGTTGCAATCTTAAAATGTATTTTTTAAAGAATAAACCTATTTTTTTTTTTTTTCTTAAAAGGAAATGAAATAATTTACTTGATAAACATAATAATTTGACATACAGTAGTAGTAAGGTTTTGTAATAATAATAATAATAATGTCAAAAATAATGAGACGAAATACATACGAAAATACTTCATACGAATTTAACAAGTTTAAATTAAATTTATTATTATTATTATTATTATTATTATTATTATTATTATTATTTTAATAAACTTTAATTATTTAAAGCTCAAGGGAAGTCAATTATAAAAAAAAAATCCTCGAACGCAGTCAAAGCATATCAAATTAAATATATATATATATATATATATTATTTAGGAAAAAAACTATTATTATTATTATTATTTTTATTTTTATTATTGCGTGCAAATTTTGCGTAATCAGTGCGTGAAAGAAATTTTTTTTTTATTTATTAAATTTGCAATTTTTTTCATTAAAAAAAATTTTTTTTTTGCAGGCATCGGTAATATTTATCCGGGAGTAGAATTTAATTTTTACATGGATCCGGAAGCTGCATTTATCGTTTTTAAAGAAGCGGAAAGAGTTAATAAAATAATTAATTTGGTCACGTGGGAAACCGTTTTCAAAAGGACCAACATAAGCACGGTATAAAAAAAATAAAAAAAAATCTTTAAAAAATTTCAATTTAAAAAGGGTTTTAAATAATTTAAATTTGTTTTTTTTTTTTTTTTTTTTTCGAAAAAGTTGTCATGTCAACACTTACAAGCACGCACACACGCACACACACACACACACAATACAAATGATCTAAACAAATTTTTTTTTTTTTTTTTTTTTTAAAAAGAATTATTATTTATTAAAAGATTTCACTTCTTTACGAAATTTGTATTATCATTATTATTATTATTACGAAACGAAATTTTCATTCAGATTTTATTTATATAAAAAAAAAAAAAAAAAAAAAAATTTTAAAAAGAGAATGTTTTTTTTTTTTTTGGGGGGGGGGGGAGACAAAGAAACAGTTTGCAAAATGTTTTTAAAAATATTTGTTTAGTTTTGTACCTTGATGAAAAATGACTGAAGATTTCACAAAAGATGATTTTTTAAAAAAAGAAAAATTAATACCTGACAAAAGAAAAAAAGAAAAAGAAAAATGAAAAGTTATGATTAATGTTTAAGAGTATTTGTATCGTAGAAAAATGTGGAATCATTTTATTTTTACGTAACAAACAAAAAAAAAAAACGTTAAATGTAAACATTAACAAATTTACAAAATTTGTGTTAACTCGTCGTTTATTAATAATAATAATAATAAAGAAGAGGTGAGGGAGAAAGGGGGGGGGGAAATTAAAAAAAACATGAATGATAACCGTAAATGAAAATTTTTTTTTCGTTACAGGAATGGAGGAAAAACGTATTGGGAATGATATCGACACCCATGATCGATTTAATAAACAAAGCAGAAAGTAAGCATTTAATTTATGAAAAATGGTCGTCGGCCGATTGCATTCTATCATCCGTCGTTATAGATTCTAAATTAATCAAATCCGAAGTTTACGATCATTTGGATGTGGAAACGTGTGGAAATCACGCGAGAGGTTCGATATTTTTAAATCACGATTTTATTAAAAATTTAACGTCTAACGTTCGATTGATAAAAAAAATCAATAATAAATTATATAAGAAAATGTTAATTCAAAATTTTAGTTTGAAAAAAAAAAAAAAATTATCGGACGATAATTCGAATTATTGACTATTATTATTATTATTGATTTTTTTATTTATACTCTTTTGTAGTATTTTTTAAACTTCTTTTTGCTGTTTTCTTTCTACCCCCCCCCCCCCGAACAACGCACATAGACACATTCGCAAATTTCCTTATTTGATTTGAATCGGAAATAGTTTGTTTGTCAAGATTTTTTATTTATTTTATCATAAACTAAAAAAAAAAAAAAAAAAAAATTTATTTATTTATTTTTTTTTCCAACCTTTTAATCGTTAAAAAAATTTTTACAGGTTTCAAGTAAAATTATGTAATAACTAAAAATGGCGTTTAATTATTATCAAAAGTCTTTTTACTTTTAATGGAAAAACAAAAAATCAATTATTTGACTCTTGTTGAAATGGTGTAAAGTGCAAAGGTTTCGAAGAGGAAATGGATATTGTTTGTATAAAACAAAAGAGAAAATATAAAAGGTGAGCCCCTTCCATTATTTTCCGCCCCCGCCCCCCGCCCTCTCTACCGCCCCCACCACCCAAATCATAAAAGTAAAAAAAAAATTACAATTTTTACTAGAGCGAAAAGAAAAAAAAATTCGAATTTAATTTTGAATTTAATTTCGAACTAATTATTATTATTATTATTATTTTTACTTATAATTAATTTAATTATCATTTTTTTTTCGGTTTTTTATTTCATTATTATTATTATTATAAAATGAAATGGAAATAAAAAAAAAAATAAGGTAGGTAAGTTGGAATACTTGTGAAATAATTTTGTCCTGGAAAAAGTAGAAAAAAAAAAAAAAAAGAAGTAATGTGGTAATAAAATAAATAACAACAAGTATTAATCTTAACTAAACCAGAGCAAAAGTTTATTTTTTTTCGTTATGACTTCTAATTACTGCAAATGATAATAAATTTCACGAGTATTGCATTCAAACGCAAATTTTGCAACAAACGCAAAAAAAAGGAAAAGGAAAAGAATAAACGAGATCGCGGTTTTGGATTCTTTCGTTTTGGAATTACCAAAAAAAAAGAAAACAAACAAACGAACAAACAAGCAAACAAACAAACAAACAAACAAACAAACAACAACAACAACAACAAGAATAATAATAACGAATAATAATAATAATAATCGAGCACATTTAATAAATATTAGGGAAAAATTTAATAAAAAAACGTTTTGGACGACGACGACGACGAAACGTTTTAAAATTTTAAATATCGATATATCGTTTCCGGTTATTACGATATATCGAATCTCGATAAAACGATAAATAATTTATTTATTTAAAAAAAAAAAAAAAAATTAAAATTTGACGTAATTAAAAAAAAAAAAAAATGAAAAAAAAAAAATTTACGGTTCCATTAAAATTTTTCAACCGTGATTGAAAACCATAGAAATTTTTTTTTTTTTTTTTTTTTTTTACGCATTGAATATTTGTGTGCTACGAAAGTAATAATAATAATAATAATAATAATAATAATAATAATAATAATAATAATAATAATAATAATAATAATAATAATAATAATAATAATAATAATAATAATAATAATAATAATAATAATAATAATAATAATAATAATAATAATAATAATAATAATAATAATAATAATAATAATAATAATAATAATAATAATAATAATAATAATAATAATAATAATAATAATAATAATAATAATAATAATAATAATAATAATAATAATAATAATAATAATAATAATAATAATAATAATAATGATGATGATGATAATGATAATAATAA